CGAAAGACTGAAGATCGCAGGACCTTTCTGAAGTTCGTAGGACCTTCTCTGAAGATCGTAGGAACTTTCTGAAGTTCTATGGACCTTCCCTGAAGTTCGTAGGACCTTTTCTGAAGTTCGTTTTACCATATCTGAAGTTCGTAGGACCTTCCCTTAAGTTCATATGACTTTCCATGAAGTTCGAATGACCTTTCCTGAAGATCGTAGGACCTTTCTGAAGTTCGTAGGACCTTCCCTGAAGTTCTTAGGACCTTCCATGAAGTTCGAATGACCTTTCCAAAAGCTCGTAGGACCTGCTTTGAAGTTCTAAGGACCTTGAAGCTTGTAGGACCTTTCCTGAAGTTCGTAGAACTTATTATTATTTCGTGTTGGGTAAATTCATCACTACGACCATTACTTTGAACTATTGAGCTAGGCAAAAAATTAGAGTTTTTGAATTGAAATTGTATGTTAAATGCAATGATTCACATTTTTGCAAAAACTCGGTCATTTTGGATCTTGTATAATTTTCATAATGGCACCTTTGATTTTTTTTTTTAAATAATTGTAGCACGAAAACGGCACTTCTGATCAAAACGACGTCGTAGAAAAAGTTGTTGATACATGTTTTTCTACGAAAAATATCCGGGAAACTTAAATCTTGCAATTACTTTAAATACACTCTTAATTTTATTAATTACTCATTTGAATTACTGACAAAGTATGGTATTTTAATTGTTTTCAATACATTTAAATTATTTTCCATTACATTGATTATTGTAAATTGTTTATGGATTACTTTCAACACTTTCATCTAGAGGTGGCGTAAGGGCTCTAAGTCCAAAATGTCGAACGATGAGCTTTTTCAAATAAAACATATGCGTCTCTCAGTAAACACGTGATTTTGTGACCTTAATGGGCGAAAATTCTATCTTATTCGCTCTCAATCTCATATTTACTCACGCCGCATCTATCACCACGAGAATACTGATTTCGTAAGTCCATACACACTTAAATTTTTTCGTCGAGATTCCAACAGCCGAGCAGTTGTGCAAAATATTTTGCTGAGGTTCAGTAAAACATTTGCTGAGATAACAGCTAACAAACAGATATTTTGAAGAGATATCAACAAAATTAAATGCCGAGGTAATCGGCTGTTGGAGATTTCACCGAGCTAGATTAAAGGGTGATACGGTCAAAATTTGGTCAAGGGAAAACGCGTGTAAATCGGTAAAATCGTTTATTTAAAAAATCAAATTAAATTTCTTTTTCAAGTTCAATTAGTATAAAATTCAGGAAAAATATTCAGTTAGGCTTCCGCTTTTCCAAATCCGAATTGCCGGGCCTTACGCTTGACCCCTGCCATCAGATTTTGCACAGCCACCTTGTCCACCTTCTTCGCCGCAGAAAGCCAGTTTGCCTTGAACTGCTGCTCGCCCTTAGCAGTTTTTTTGGTCTTCTTTAGGTTCCGCTTGACAATAGCCCAGTATTTCTCAATTGGGCGGAGCTCTGGCGTGTTGGGAGGGTTCTTGTCCTTGGGAACCACCTGCACGTTGTTGGCGGCGTACCACTCCATGGCCTTTTTACCGTAATGGCAAGATGCCAAATCCGGCCAAAACAGTACGGAACAACCGTGTTTCTTCAGGAAAGGCAGCAGACGTTTATTCAAACACTCTTTCACGTAAATTTCTTGGTTGACAGTCCCGGAAGCTATGAAAATGCTGCTTTTCAAGCCACAGGTACAGATGGCTTGCCAATTCAGATATTTCTTTGCGAACTTTGACAGTTTCATGTGCTTGAAAACATCTGCTACCTTTCCCCTTCCTTTTGCCGTATAAAACTCCTGTCCCGGAAGCTGCTTGTAGTCGGCTTTGACGTAGGTTTCGTCGTCCATTACCACGCAGTCAAACTTCGTCAGCATCGTCGTGTACAGCCTCCGGGATCACGCTTTGGCCGTCGTATTTTGTTTATCATCGCGATTTGGAGTCACTACCTTCTTGTAAGTCGATAGTCCGGCTCGTTTTTTGGCTCGATGCACGGTTGTAGACGATACACCCAGCTTATTTGCGGCATCTCGGAGAGAGAGGTTAGGGTTTCGCTTGAAACTACCGGCAACTCTCTTTGTCGTCTCAGCGGCTTCCGGTTTTCGATTTCCCCCCGATCCAGACTTCCTGGCTGTCGACAAACGTTCCCCAAACATTTTAATTACATTTGTAACGGTTGATTTGGCAACTTTTAGCGATTTTGCCAACTTTGCGTGCGAGTAGCTCGGATTTTCGCGATGCGCGAGCAAAATTTTGATACGCTGCTCTTCTTGCTTGGACGGCATTTTGACAACTGAAGAGTGAATTCCAAAATCAAAATAGGAGCAACATTCTACACACACACACCTTCAAAATGAGGGGTGTTCAGGTTTTTTAAATGCAAAATTGAAAGAAATACGTCAAGTTGATATTGACCAAATTTTGACCGTATCACCCTTTAAGTGTGTATGCAGAAACATCGCTATGCCCTATATCTCAAGATCGAGTGAAGATATCGTAAATTGGACAAAATTTACTTATATAGTCGTCATCCCAGTTCCAAAAAGTACCCATATTGTAGGGTACTTAACAGTTTTTTAGAGTCGGAAGTCGCCATTTTGGATTCTTTATTAGAGTCAATAATCAATTTCCGGCCTTTACTCGTCGTTCTCATTTAAAAAATATCCAGGGTTTAAAAAGATTGCCATATTGTCAAGCTGATTAAAAGTAAATTGGTACGCACAAAAAGACCTGCAATTCGTGATTCAATAAGTTTAAAAAGTCCATTAATGGTTGCTTTACGGTACTTTTATTAAAACTTCAGAGTTATAGCATTAGAGGGTTACATTTTTCCTGTTCGAACGAAATCTCGAACTTTCCTCTTGATGGAGCTCATCAGCGCCCGCACAGTGGAAACGGACACGGAATCAGTGCTGGATATCCTAATGACTGCCCCACCGCTTTGTCGAAGTCACTGCTTTGAAATTACCCAGTATTTTGCGATTGGTCGGAATTCCAGGCAATTCGGAGGATTCATTAGCTTGGGGACAAAATCGATCTTGTTGGCAGCATACCACTCAAGAACCACCTTCGAGTAGTGGCAACTGGCCAAATTGGACAAAAAGATGACTTTGCCTTTTGCCCCTATGCTTGCGGATGAACGGCAAAACACGCTTTGTCAGGCATTCTTAGATGTAAACTTGGATGTCATCGTCGGGGATGTGACGAATGGTTCCGTTTTCAGGCCACAGCTGCAAATCACCTGCCAAATCATGGCCTTCTTCGCGAACTTGTCGGCAAACACGAACTTGAATCTTCCCGGCACATCCCCACATTCACTCGCGATGTAAAACTTTTGACGTATATTTCGTCATCGATCAAAGTGGAGCCCTTGTTTTGGGTCGTACAAGAGCCTTGCACGCTTTTTGGTCACGGAATTCGGCTTCATGTGCCAGTTCGGATGTTTACTGGCTTTGTACGACTTGCATCCTTCCCTGGCATGGATGTTCCGCACCGTTTGAAAGTTGACGTTGCACCTTCTGGCCACATCTCAGATCGAAAGACCGGGGTTGGCTTTAACGCACCTCGTTGCGCAGCTGACGATCCCTGGTTCCAGTTTTTTCGTCCGCTAATTCCTTTCCACACTCAGGGTTTGGTTTCCTTGTAGGTTTTGAGCACTCAACAAACTGTTGTTTTCGGCATCATCCGCACTTTAGCCTTTAAGCCGGACCACTCCGGATTTTCCAGGTGTTTGTGCACAATATTTTTTCTTCTTTCGAGTTCCATTTGACGTTATTTCTGAACGCGATCGACTACTTTGATCAAACTTGCACCAGTTGTTCTCTATAGAAGTTTAAACAAATCATTGTCAAAGATTTTCGATTCCCAACACTAGAGACGTGCTAGCAGCGCGCGAGGGGCGTACCAATTTACTTTTAGTCAGCCTTTAAATAAACTGGAAGTGGCCATTTAGGATTCCAGAATGATAAGGATCAAATTCTAATTGATAGTTCCTGCTTTTTATGCCCTGCGAAGGATTTAAACACCCTCCAGAGGTGCGCCACTTTGTCAGTTAAAATCGGATTCATTAACAGCAAAATCCAGCAATGACACCGATATTGACCTCGCATCAGAACCCTAGCCTTTTCAACTGCAAACTAGAGAACAACGTATAAAAGATTGCGAATCACATGAATGAAAAATAACTAGGGGAAATGGATGTAATGTCGGCCTAAATGCCCCTAATTTGGGCCCATACATAAATTCAGCAATCGATAGCTATTTCAATAGTTAGGACCAGGCTTCGGTGGTTCAGGCTGCCAACAAATGAAATGTTTGTTAAAGTTGGTCTCCACTTTCATTTGTTTTCCATTTCTTGTTCTCCATTTTAAGAGAACAAGCAGAAACTTCTCGAGAAACTCCACAGAATGGTTCTGATCCTATGAATTGTTGAGATAATCCTAGCCTTGCTAACATGGCGGCTCTTACATTCCCTTGAATTCCACAGTGGCCAGGAACCCAATATAGGTTAACGTGGTTGCGACAGGCCATGTGTCATAACACATTCCCATACAAGTTTTGATGTGCATGTTGCTGATTTTTAAAGCATTTAATGCTGCTTGACTACCGTTTTTGATCTGAACACTTTTTAATTTGAACCCCTGTAATCTGCACGCCGTGCAAACTAAAAATGGTTCAAATGTCATTTAGTTTATGGAATGAAGCAAAGTTAAATTGAACATTATGAAAAAGAACGCAGAAACAAAACTAAAAAAAAAAATAATTGTAGTAGGCCTAGATGTAGTAGGCCTTGCCTGACTGTCATAAGTTAGAGATTGATTCTTGATCCGACCACCAACCAAGATAGACGTAATAAATAGTAGCTCTTAACAACAGCTTGTTTTACTTGTTAGCCTTTGGTTACGGATATAACAATTGGCGACGAGGAAAATTTTGGAAGCACCTCGAACCTCGAAGCAAGAAACCTCAAGCAAGAAAATGTCTGACGAGGATCTTCGGAACGCCATCCTGCAGCTAACGAATCTCATCACGAGGCAGCAGCAGCAAATTGAAAACCTGGAAAATCGGGGAAATCCGACTGCTGGCAGTGAGAAGATTATTGAGTCCTTGGCAAGCGGGATCCAGGATTTCCAGTACGATCCGGACGGAGGAGTTTTCTTCGATGGCTGGTATGCAAGGTACGAGGATGTCTTTACAAAGGACGGCCAATCCCTGGATGACGCCACCCGTGTGAGATTGCTTCTTCGCAAGTTAAGCACGCCTCTGCACGAGAAGTACGTCAACACCATTCTTCCCAAGCATCCCCAGGACCTCACCCTGGACGAAACCGTCACGAAACTGAAGAAACTGTTCGGTCGACAGAAGTCGGTTTTTCATTCCCGTTACCAGTGCCTCCAGTATGTAAAAAGTGACGCGGATGACTTCACATCGTATGCTGCCATGGACAACAAACACTGTGAAGCGTTTCAGCTGTCCAAGCTCACACCGGACCAATTCAAAGCTCTCCGTTTCGTCTGTGGACTCCAATCGCCACGGGATGCGGACATACGAGCTAGGTTGATCTCGAAATTGGAAGCCGACGAAACCGCAGTAAACGAATTGGGAGAACCCTGGAGAACCTCGTGGAAGAATGCCATCGCGTGGCCAATCTCAAGCAGGACACATTGATTCTCGCAACCAGAATAATCCTGCCTCAAAAAAGAACCAAAAAGTGCCGAAAACGCCATGTTGGAAGTGTGGCGACCACCACTATGTTCGTGAGTGTCCGTTCGCTTCGCACACCTGTTCCAGATGCAAGCAACAAGGACACAAGGAAGGTTATTGCAACAGCAACAAGAATGCGCCGTCGAAACCGTTCAAACAGGCCAAATCCAAAGAGAACGTGAAGACAAAAAGCATCTGCACGGTTCGCAACATCGGAAGCAAGCGGAAGTTCATCCCGGTCGAGCTCAATGGTGTAGCAGTCAAACTTCAACACGACTCGGCGTCCGACATCACCATAATCTCAGAAGAAACATGGATCAGCATCGGACAGCCACCCACTCAACCGACGGAAGAATCTGCAGTTACAGCTTCTGGTGGCAATCTCAACCTTCTCGCTGAGTTCCAGACCAAGATCACCATCAAAAATGTTACCAAGACTGGTCGCATTTTCATCTCAAGCAGCGCTGAACTCAACGTTCTAGGAATCGAGACTATGGATCTGTTCGATTTGTGGTCTGTGCCGATAAGCAGCTTGGTCAACGTCGTACACCAATGTTCTGATCAGTTCACCAATCAACTTAAGCAACAGTTTCCGGAAGTTTTTCGAAGCACGCTGGGTAGATGTACAAAAGCGCAAGTGAAGTTGTACCTCAAGCCTGACGCACGTCCTGCATATTGCCCGAAACGACCAGTAGCGTACGCTGCACTCGCCAAGGTGGACGCAGAACTTGAGAGGCTCCAGCAAAACGGTATAATTTCTCCAGTTCAATTCTCGGACTGGGCAGCACCAATAGTCGTCGTACGCAAGTCGGACAATGTATTAGGCCGTGTATGTGGCGATTATTCGACGGGGCTGAACAACGCGCTAGAATGTGACCATCATCCACTGCCTCATCCTGACGACCTCTTTGCGGAACTAGCTAGAGCACGTTACTTCACTCATCTCGATTTGTCTGACGCTTACCTACAGGTCGAGGTCAAGGAGGAATCGCGAAAGCTACTCACGGTCAACACGCATTGTGGACTGTTCCAGTATAACCGACTACCCCCCGGAGTCAAGTCGGCACCCGGCGCTTTCCAGCGCATCATCGACAGCATGGTGGCCGCAGTCAAGCCGTATTTGGACGACATCCTCATCGCTGGTCGCACCAAGCAGGAACACGATCGCAGTCTCTACGCTGTTCTCGAGCAGATACGTGAGTATGGCTTTCACCTACGCCTCGAAAAATGTCGTTTCGCACTCTCCCTCCCAGATCAAGTTTCTCGGACACATCGTGGATAAGGACGGTATTCGACCTGACCCTTCAAAAACAGAAGCCATTTCCAAGATGCAGTCTCCGAAGGATGTCCAGCAACTCCGTTCCTACCTCGGTGCTGTCAACTACTATGGTAGATTCGTTAAGCAGATGAAGCAACTCAGGGCTCCTCTGGACAGCCTCCTCAAGAAAGATGCACGCTGGAACTGGACCAAGGATTGCCAGAAGTCTTTCAAGCAGCTCAAGGCCATTCTACTTTCCGACCTGCTGCTTACACACTACGACCCGTCCAAGGAAATCGTTGTTGCAGCAGATGCATCGAAGTACGGCCTTGGCGCTGTCATCATGCATCGATTCCCGACCGGTGAAGTGAAGGCAATTGGACCTTTGGACCTACTGAAGAAACCTGTTCCTGTAACTGAAGCTGTCAAGAACCACAAACAAAACGAACAGTTCAATTGGCGGCATGGAGCAGTCAAGCGCGAGTTTGAAGAAGATGACCTGGTCTACGTTGAACAGCATCGCAGAAACACAAAGTCCTGGATACCTGGTCGAGTCATCGAACGGAAAGGTTCCGTCAACTATATCGTTGCACTGGACATGAACGGGAGACCGAAGCTGGTGAGGTCGCATGTAAACCAAATGCGCCCTCGTCACACTTCTGATGATCCAGAGCAAGCGACGCAGCAACTACCATGGGAAATCCTGCTTGATGAAATTCAAGATGAAGCTGTACCGTTGGATCCAGAAGTGCCATTCAATCACGATATCCCTATTCCTGTTGGTTCCGTATCACTCGAAGCTGTTGGTCAAGTGGCAAGTACGTCTGGCGAAAATCCTTTTTCGACAATCGATCATGAACCTGCTGCTCAAGATGGAGAACTTCAGTCCGCACAAAAGCCCGTGTCATCTGAAGCAGTTGGAGACTTTATTCGACGTTCTGTACGAGAATCAAGAATTCCAAGATGGCTCTCTTCCTATGACATTTTCTAAAAGGGGGAGATGTAGTAGGCCTTGCCTGACTGTCATAAGTTAGAGATTGATTCTTGATCCGACCACCAACCAAGATAGACGTAATAAATAGTAGCTCATAACAACAGCTTGTTTTACTAGTTGGCCTTTGGTTACGGATATAACAATAATGCTACCAGAAATTAGCTTTTCAGATGCTCATATGGTTACTAGAAGTTCAAATTGAAAATGAACTCCGTTAATATGAATGAAGTACTCTCTACTCTAGCATATAACATGACATTCAAAAATTGCTTAAGTCCATTTCTGATATCACTAGACCCCTCTTTGGGGATCTTATCTACTTGAAATGTCATGAATTAATCCCCAGAAAGTGCTACTGTGTTACCTGACTTATAACGAATATACGTTATATACGAGTGCCCCGAATACAACGTATAGTTCGTCTAATTTTACATTGCAAATGCTATGCAAAATTAGACGAGACATACGTTGTATTCGGGGTACTCGTATACAACGTATATTCGTTATAAGTCAGGTAACACAATAGCCCTAAGTTGAAGAAAAAATTAGTTGATGAGGTCGTGTTGCCAAAAACGGGAAGGCACTGTACTCACACTACTAGATCACCTTCAATCAGTGTTCACTCGGCTGTCGACAGAAGCAGGCCACTCTCGATGTGTGTCAGGTGATCGTCTGTTTACCATTGTGTGGTCCTCCTGATTGTTCTTTAACTCTACTCATCTGTCTTTATCTGCATATTTTCCTTCCTGCTCTTTACAGGTCTAACTTTTCGGGTCTTAATTAGTTAATTATTCCCTAATCTACTCTTCAATCAATTGAATCAAATTTTGAGTGCTTCCAAATTCCTACTAAATCATTCTCTGCTGAGAGCGACCCCTTAAGTCTCATAATTGCATTATCAACAAGAAAATCAACCCCTTTTATCCGAACCAGATTCTTATTGATCCCTCATCTCTAATTGCATAAAAGAAAACGCACCACCACCCGGGGTATCGCATGTCAGCATTTGCACGAAGCACGCAATCACAGATGCAAATGAAAAGCGAATCAATTCGAATTAAAATTGCGCTGTCTGACAGTTCCTTTTAGTTTATTTTTTTTTTCTTCGTTCCCGAAAAGCTACCTTCGTTTCCTCGTTCTTCACGCTTTCCAATCTTCACTGACGCCACTGCTCATGGCTTCACCGGAAAAGTGTGTGCCTTTCTCGCTTCCAAATTGTCACTTGAAATCGAAATCGTCGGGCTCATCCTGTGCTCTGCTCTGACACTGGCTCTGCGTGCAAAGAAGGCGGTGAGGCGAAAATGTCGATCGAATTTGCATTCCGGCACCGTGTTGCCTTCAGATATGAATTTCAATCGAGATCCATTAGCGACGATTTCTGGGAATTCCACCACCCTCCCCCGGCCCCAATCCATTGATTTCGGTACAGTTTCAGTTTTAAAAGCACCTACCTACATATCTGCTATTTACTCTTCGTCTTCGCTTCCATTCGTAGTGGATTCGTTCCGGCACTGACGGACGATCGGGTAAGGGAATCCATTGGCGAGACGACGCGGGAAGGTGGGTATACTGCACAAATGCAAATTGGAATCGAATTTCCCGCTTTTGGGTTTCGGTTTGGCCATGCTGGATACTCGTCGGGAAGTGGATACACTTTTGCTTTTGGCACGGGCTCGGTGGTGGCAATGGCTAACCCAAATGGCAAGTGTCCAATGCCATCACATGTGTGGGAAGTGTGTAAGTGTTGCTCAAATTATCCTACAGTGGAAAGACACGTGCTGCTATCCAAAGGAGAGGATTATCGTGCGATTTTGCTTTCATTTTTTTCCAGAAGAATTTCATTTTTTTCCGGAAGAGTTTTACGCCCAACCAGGAAATGTATAATTCTACTAACAGATTTGAATACAGCACAGAACTTCACCGCATGAACAGATTCTGTAAGGTGGTCGTCGAAAGAAACATGTACAGAGGATGTCATAAATCCACCCTTTCATTTGATGTTCATGCCATTTCGTCTGCGTGTAGAAGGTTTGTACGCCTCTCTTGAAGAGCGTTTATCCTCATCATGACATCTCTGTTTTTTAAATCGTTTATTGTATAGGCTCAATTGTCGTAAAAAACAACTCAACGGAGTCAGGTAACAACAAATATTAAAATCACAGACAAACAGACGTAAGTCCATCTTCTCAATCGTCGTGCACGCATTTAACGTTCAATTTAAATATTATTAGTTTCGCAAACCCCGCAAACAGCGCTGGCATCGGATCATTTTGACGTTTCTATACATTCTATAAAACTTGTATGCAACATTTTTTGAGACTTGGCAAGCAAGTTTTTCTTCCGCGAATGTCGTTAGTGAATCCCGTGTCGATATTTTTAAGGAAAATTTATTTAAAGGGATACGTCTGTACATTATATGAGTATGGGGGTGACTTGATTGTGGTTTTCGCCGGTGCTCGCAATTTACTACTTTCCTGCATTCTCTGTTTCTCCTTCTCTCCATTGTGTTGTATCTTCCACAATTCTAGAGCTTTCTGATAGACCACATTTTTCGCGTACTTGAACCTGATGAACTTTGGTTTCCCTCATTTGTTCACCGTTACTCTCTTCTCCCATCGTCACGATAATTTCAACTCCTCAAGCACCGCTACTTCTTCCTCCGTTTCCTGGTTGTTGTTGTCCAAAGACGCACCTTTAGTTACTACATCAGCTGCTGCTTTTCCTCATCCTGGTGTTGCTTTTCTGGTCCCTTTCAGGTCTTCCACTTGGGGCAGGAATTCATCCGCAGAAATGCCCCTCCGTCTTATAGAGGACATAACATATCCGATTGAGGAAATGCAGTGACGAAAGGAATCTCCATTTTCACATCCATGTATGCGAGGTGTACACATGTGCACAGTGTCGAGGCCCAACTCCACAGGAAATTTCGCCCAGATGACACGCTTCACTTTCCAGTATTTTCCCAGCACCAACGGTTAGATCAACCGCTCCGCACTCGTGTTTATTTCAGTTACCATGGGGACGTAATTTGTGATTAGCCCCGGTCCTTTTCAAATTGTATCATTATTTATGTACGGCCTTAAATTTGAAAAGACGTTTTAGATTCATCTAGTGATGACCGATTTTCATTCGAATAATCGATAAATCGATTAACGAACCGAAAAGTAAAATATTTGAAATCGGTTATATCAACAATCAATACGAAACTAACGATTTTAAATTGGTTCACTACTTGCCTAGCCTATCGGTCCCAAGCAAATCGATTAATGTACCCAATTCTAGTCAAAATTCTAGTACTACACTATGTTTGTTTTGATTCGATATGAAAGTTTGACAGATAAAATGAGGGGCTCGTGGATTTTCCTATGTTTAGAGGGGTGCATCGATTAGCTTGGGACCGAAGATAGTACCAGAGCTGAGCGAAGGGGGGCGATACATCTAAATCTTAATGCTAGATGCTCGAAAAATCTCACACTAGCGAATCAATCCTCTAAAAATCTTCTTTCATTTCTCGCATCTTCTTACATCGCGCATCATCTTTTCGCAGTAAAACTTCAGAATCGTCATCAGGCCTCTTTCTATCTACTCAGCGTACGCGCAACTAGCCACAGAAAACCACAATCTTTCCTGCATCGTAGATAGAGTCGTTCCCCTCGAGCTGAGCCGAAAGTTGAGCTTGTTTCTTCGGGACCTTCTGGTCTAGAGTTACCTCTATGGTTATATCATGCTGATATAAGCATTAATTTCTCCAGAGGATCATCACCCATCGTTTCAAACATATGCTGTACTCTCATTGGTGGAAAAATGACAACCCAGCGAACAAAAAATAATCGATAAGATGTGTGATTAATCGAATAATTTAAAAAATGGGACATCTCTGATTTTGGTGTGATTGTTTTGATAAAAACAATCCACTGCCTTTGTATTAAGATAATGGTGTGGGCAACAGAGGACACAACACACAGTGGAAAAACCGCGTAGGGAACTTCGAAAGAATAACTACATAAACACGGACGCTATTACGGATACAAAGCACTTGTATTCACGTCTTGATTCGGTTTGACAAAGATGGTTATGATAATAATAAGCGCCCATTACACATGTCAATATATTGACAAACATCGTATTGTCAATTTTCCTTACAATATTATCAATACATAAATATTGACAACATTAATAACAGTGCGCTAAAGCGCTCGTTACACGGGTCAATATATTGACAGTAAATTGACATACTGACAATATTATTGAAAAGGTAATATTGATGACGATGGATTGATGACGAGTATTGTTGAACAACTGATTTTCATTTCTCTTTTTCAATATTCTTCCCCTACCCAAGAGGAGGGAGAACGTACGTCATTTAGATCGACTGCAGCGAGGCATGCAGTGTTGCCATTTGTTTAAATTTTCGTTTGTGATATGCAATCGATTTCAAACTAAATAAAAATGTATCTTTTTATAGTCACCAATCACCCAGGCTTCGTTTATGTGGATGTACATTTTCTACAAAATCACAAGCATAATTATGTTATTTTTTTACTTTAAAATAAAATAAATACTATCAGCGTTTCACATACCTACAGGTAACGTAAATTAATTATTATATGCATGATTTTCATTTATGAATGTTTACCAAAACATCAGCATGATAGTTTCTATTTGGGAAACTGCGTACCGTTCACGTGGATTATTCCAAACGTGTAGTAATTCCACGCACTCAATAATCGATTTGATTAAATTCGATCAATTTGGAAGTACATGTCCTGTGCATTTTCTGTGTCCTGTCAAAAAGTTACAACATTCGGTATACCAATTTGGTATTTGAATGACAAATCTGCGGATTTACAGTTCACGCAGAATAACCCACGTTCACGGTACATCCTATGTTGATTAATAAACTATATGTGTGGTCATTAATACAGTTCATATCACATATCACATTAGTTGACTTTAATAATCATCAATTTTAATTTGCCAGAAAGTATTAGAAGATTTTCATCATGATAAAACAAGTGTATCATTATGATAAAACTAAGCATTATGGGGATTACTCCGAGAGTCGAAGTGACTTTTGTCTCTAGTGAAGTAAGTAAAGTCACGTGGTGGTAACGAGACTCTCCGTTTGATTTGCATAGAGAGTCACGACACCACGTGACAAAAATCACTTCGACTCTCGGAATAACCCCCTATATGTTGGGTAACATTAGATAAACATTAGAGTTCAGTGATATCAAAAATAAAATTGGATGCTATAATTAATCACCCAGTTCTAACATCATTCTGAGAACTTAAGAGTAGGCCCGGAATTGATCATTATTGAACACTATTTATTCTAAAAATTCTGAAAGTTAATTTGAAATGAGCA